CCAAGCAGATGCACTTTTAGTGACAGCCGGGACAGGAGACCCTCAGACCCCAACAGTCCCTCGAACACACTTAAAGTCGCCCGCCACGCCAAATTGTGAAAGCTGCTGGATCTGTCGCAATTGTGCCGCGAAGTCCATCAAAGGAACTGCCTCTTCTTCGGGACGCTCTTCCCTGTAGCAGGAGGCTTAGCACATGATTGCCATGCGTTGCTCAAGTTGTGGCCTTGCGTTGGGGGGGAGGCTGCGCCTCTTCCTGGTAAATCCCTATAATCATAACTCTGAGCTTTAAAACTTGTGGCTTGAGAGTTTGTGAAAAGCTGGTAAGCCAAGCTCTTGAGGACTACATATCCCCGGTGTCTCCAAGGTGATGCGCCTTCTCCGGCTTCAGCCCCGGCCATCAGGAGGGCGGAGATGAAGGGCTTGCCGGGCTCCATGATAATGCTTAGGACAAGTTGCGACCATACTACAGCAAAACTGACACGCATGTTGAATGGTACGGGCTACCAAAAGTGGCTGTTGCGTTTCAGAATTAGTCGGTGTAGTCGAGCACTGAGACACTTTTCAGCATGCCCACGGCGTCGAGACTCGGCTACTGGCGAGGGTTCCGAACGACAAGATGGCATATTCAAAAGCACCATGAGTTGAAACTCGTTGGTTGCTGTAGTGCTTTTTCAGCTTAGCACCTGCCCGTCCGTTCTGATTAATTAGCGATTTCATTTCTGGGGCTCCTTCTTATAATTATGGTATAATCTACCCCAAAACCCTCTTCAAATTGCGAAGGCCCCCACAGCCCCACATTAGTGCAGATGTCCAGGTGTCTTGTTCACCCCACCCCCGGCCCAGGCCGAGATGTTAGCGTTGGAGACCTGTAATCCCCAAAGAAGTATCAACAAAGGGCCCGGACCCCGAAAGTGTCCTTAGTAGGGAATGGGGGAATGGGTTATAGGGACTACTATAAGGGACCTGAAGGGACTATCATAGGGATCCATTGCCCCATTCCCTACTAAGCACCAGACAGCTGACGCTGAATTGAAGATTCAGGATGTCTGGAGGCTAGTGAGTTTATGTCAAGCCGTGGGTGGTTGGTGGTTGTGTAGGAGTTGATATGCAAACGGGCCACGATTGCAACCAGCATGGGCTAGTGCAGCTGCTGATGCTGCTCCTAGGGTTTGCAATCATTGACTCATTCCTGAGTTTGGCCTTCCGTGTAAGAGTGAGGCTACAACTGATACTAAGCCAGAGTGTCGGAAGTTTCGGAGCTCCGACGCCTGAAGCCCGCATGCACTCAACATGCAGAAATCTACACCACCCCTTCGCCTCAGCGTGCAACTTAGGCTCGTTCACAAGGCTCGTAGAACAGCGGATCCTATGTCATCCCAAGCCTGTACTTGCCGCAGAGCCCTAAACACCTCAAACCTGCTTTGTGCGAGCTGATGCCCCTAAAACAGCCTAAACTTCCAACCTTAGACCCTACTGTAAACAGGCTACCACGACTCCACACCCCGAGCATCCTTCGGGGTGGGCACCAGGGTGCGGCGGGGCCTCGGGAGGCGCGAAAGATCGAGTTCAGTGCGTTGTCGGCCTTTCTGCAGATTCTACGGCGGAGTTTCCAGGTCCATGTTGTTTATGGCGGGCTCGTGGCAAAAAGCAACGGCCAACAGAGCTGCAGCCGTTGCTGTGTAGAGGCTGGAATGCGATTAGCAGCTGCTTTGGTCATTCAGGGCCGGACAGCATGATGAGAGAGGCATACGTTTAGTTCTTGATTTTGAGACATCTCAACGCAGATCTATAGGACTGAGAATCATCATGCAAACGACGACAGCAACGGAGAACCGCTTCGAACTATCCGAAACATGTTCCATCCCGTGCGAAAGTCACACTGTTGCAGGTGGTGGTCCAGCCTGGACGAGAAGCCCGTGGGAAGGGAGAGGGGAGTGGCATGAAGTTGCCTGATGTAGCGCAAGAATCGTAATTGGTATCGGATAATTAATCAACAACAGTGGCAGTGGAGGCTTTGCGACTGGTGAAGACCCTCTGATGAAATAGCATTCCATAAGTGTGCGAGCCATGCGAAGCCGCAGCTTGGGGGCGTCTTGCCCGCTGTTTCCAGTCCAGTCTTAACAGAAATTCAACCGTGGTCTCGAAACCTCGAAGTCGTATTGATTGAATGTACTATAGTGTACTTAACTGGTTTGGCTGGTGGAACTCCCAATTACGCTCGACATGTCTCGGGACCACTATGGTTTGAGAAGCACGACAAGCAAAGCTTTGAATGCCGAAACTTTGGCCAGACATACCGCCAGATACGCATCAAGCCAAATCCCCCAATGCGCTTTGCATCCTCAACTGTTTCGGTGCTCGGCCAGCACGCAAACCTCAAATACAGCACATGGATAGCCTTTGCAGGTTCTTGGTCCCGGTCTTTCGACCACAACCAGGGCCAAACCAGGCCTGGGTAAACCACGAGGTGGCACGGCAGAGGGTTGGGTCGTGGAAACATTCTGTTTTCTCAGGCAGACCAGTCAAGACTTTGCATGAAGAGTTTCACTTTCACGTAGGGTCTTGGATTTACGGGAGTGTGCCGCGTGCCCATGTACTGTATATGATGTGCTCTTGGCTTCGGCGGGCCTACGTGCGTTTTGTGTATACAAGAAAGAACGAATCCGGTTCAAGCATTGCAGGAAGACGCTTCCGGCAGATCTCAGACGCTGAGCTTGCCCACTTGCCCCAGCTGACGGATTCTCCCATCGGGCATGGTTTTAGAGGCATGAAGTACGCAGAAGTTTCTGCATTTGTCTTGTCACGAGATGCGCGGGATGCAAGTCAGGGGCTTTTCGGGTGCGAGCCTGAAGCAGGGGCCGGTCAGAAATGGGGCCGCAGCCTCTTTAAAGACTCTTTAGCTGTTAGTGCTTGGCTGCAGTCGAGGCGCGAAAAAAAGGGGAGCGCTGCTTCAAGTCATATCATATTACGTAAGATACAATATAAACCGCTACTACATAAATTTATATTATTTCATACTATATTATATTATAGTATGTTATATTAAAGCATATAAGCTTCATTAAGCTTCAGAACTCACAGCCTGATCCTGAACCTCGACTCGAGACCGAAGAGGATCTCAGACCGAAGCTGGGCAAGCTATGTTGCAAATGTCGATGCCAAGTGCATTGGCACTTCCTCATGGGTCGCTGCCGGTAGCGCTCAACTTCATCGGCATGCAATGATTGGCCAGGTCCCGAAAGAAGGTCGAAATTCTTGCTCCCTCCTCCACGATCCTCAGGCATGTAAACACACGCGTGGCATCCACAGGCAAAAGTTGCTGACACCTTTCATCCAGGAGCACCCCAGAAGTTGTACAGTACAAGTATTTGGTTGACTGCCGACACCTGCGTTTATACCGGCAGCGAGGCGAAAGCCTTCGGCCCCCAAGTTATCCCAGCATCCGAGTCCTGAAAGCATGGATGCCAGCACCAAAACCCAGAACTTCTCAAATCGTAAGCATCCAGACCCGACGGAGTCCCGACAGCCTTAATAAACCCTGAGAGCCGTTCCTAAACTCTTGGAGTAGCCGCATAGAACCCGTATTTAGCGACTTTCTGAAACCCTTAAAATGACCAGCATAGTACGCTTAACGTGGCCAAACTTGAAGAGTATCATAGAGCCCATGTACAAACGATTCAGAGGCCTGACAGATGAGCGCGAATCCCGACTGCGCGAGTCGGGAAGCTTTGGCTTAGCAAAGCAAGCTTTGCTTGGTTTAGGGTTTTGGGTTTTGGGTTTATGGGTTTATGGGTTTAGGGGCTTTGCTTGGCTTCTTTTTTTCTGCAAATGTCGAGACTTTGGGGGGCTTTTAGGTTCCAATTGTCGGAAGTACCTGTTCCTCAATTCTTCGATTCGCCCTATTTTCGGACAACTCCGTTGTATCCTATGCTGCAGCAACCCCCGTCAAGGCAGTCGACCTGCAATAGGCCTGAGGCTTCAAATCTCAAGCGTCAGGCAACTCAGTCTCTACTGGTAGCCCCTGTGAAGGATCCGAACCATGATGTGCAGGGTTATAGTCACCGCATACCCGCCAGCAGAATCATGGTCATCATCAAGATAAGAAACATGACTATACTTTAATGTGTGTGGCAGTAGGACGGCCATTGCACGTCATGCTGTCGCCAGAATCATGCTACAGTTGCTTTCAGGGTAAACTTAAGCCCTTAGCCCTATCAAGTTAAGATGCATTAAGCCCTACAGTCATGTAGCCGTACAGCTTGTGGCCAAGGAATTATCAAGACCCGCATCGACACAGCGTGCCCAGGGTGTGAAAATCTCGTTGCAGAAATCCGGCAAGTGAAGGTTTGGTACGACAATGGTTGGCAGCAATGTTCCGAACAGAAACCTTACTCGTTGCCGAAGGGCGCCTCGGGTACCACTTCATGACAAGAAATCAACAGTGCTGTTGGGATGTCTTAGGTTTTGGCCAGGTGGGGCGCGCTCCAGGCTTCGTAACAAAAGTGTAGATTGCAAGTGTCACGCGATTCTAAAAGCCTTTTTGAAGCCCTGGCAGGGAGACGGATGATATGTGGCAGGTACAACAGACTGGACCAACTGGAGCCCAGCGGCACTTCGCAGGCTCCTTTCGAATTTTCAGCGATTCCTTGGGTTAGGGCGGAGGATAGTTGTACTCCTGGTGTTGTGAGTGACATCGATGATGCTCAGATGAGTCCTGGTGTCATCAGAGTGTGGCCGGACGGCCAGTGGCCCTGCGGGTCCCCACTATGGGTGTAGGTTGGGAGTCGAGTGGGTCAGTGGATGGCACGTTTCAGCTGCTATGTGTCTGTTCGTGAGCGGACGAGTTGTGCCTGCAGCAGCTACTCGGCGCTGCGGGCAGGATTCGCCGCCGTGTCTTCCTCGTGAATGGCGGCGCCAATTGTTTAGGAAGTCCTAAGTGCATGCATAGCTAAGTGTTTCCCGACGCCTAACAATGCCTGGCGAGCAGCATGTGGCAGGAGATGTCCTCGATCAAGATGTCTTTGGAGGCAAGCTGCTGGGCAGTATTGAACGGACTCAAGTGATAATTTTGCCAGAACACTTCCTGGCTTCATGACTTCCGGTTGTTTGACTCCTGGATCCCTAAACCTATATCCCCAACCGTGGTCCCGAGACCCACAACCTAATTTGGAAAAATCATACCTCAAATCTTGCAAACCTCGACCCCCTGAGTCCTAGAATTAGGCCGTAGAATCCGAGCGCGTGCATCGAACCCCCCCCGAAGTCCTATAAACCCAGAACTCTACAAGTCCTCTAAGCCCCAAAGTGCCGCAAATCCTCAAGATCGTCTACATTCCAACAACCCAGACAAAAAAATATCACAAGGCGCCCTAAACCCCAAACCCTGAAATTTCACAGGAGACGAGGACCGAGCAGACTCAGCTTCAGACAGCTCTGGGTCTTCTGGAAGCGGAGTGTTTCGTCCTTGGCTCTTGGTTTTGGGAGTGCTATCGGGGTTAAGGCCTGATGGCAGCAAGGGTTTTCAGATTTTAAACTTTTGGGTTCAAGGTTTCAGGATTTCGGATATGATGGGCTTAGAACTGATCAGTTCTCCGGATCAAGGTAGATTGATAGGTCTGTAGGGGGCCTCTACAGGCTTGTATGGTTTTTGCAGGGCTTTTACAGGCCTTCTACTGGGGTTTCAAAAGGGGTCTTACACGATCTTGCGCCGTCTGAGGCCGAAGGACGGCGGCGGCTTCTCCCACCGCCAACCAGGACCAGTTCTGCTTTCCGCGGCTCTTCATACAGCAAACGGGATCTATGTGGAATATGCTCATGTATGTTCAGAGGTTTTGTTCTCCTGGGTTTGTGGCAAGGGGTCTTATGAAAGGGTTGTACACGACTTAGTATGGCGGCCCTGAATACAGCTCCGTTTATTGCGGGAAGGTTATGATGGGACATTCTTACGAATCACTCGCGCCTCTTTATGAGAGAAAACTGCCAGTGGCTGACAACTGCAGAGCTTCAGGACAGATCCCCGGCCCCAGACCCCTATATCCCTTTAAGAGAAAGGGTTTGGGGTTTAGGGTTTAGGGATTGCGACCGTGAGTTCAATCTGCAGTCGTTCACAGCATGCGGGCACCTAAACCCTAAACCCTAAACCCTAAACCCTAAACCCACCTGCAGGACACGGGAATCCAGCAAGTCTCGGATTCGGCCCTTCGATTGCGCCGGCGACACAGAGGGCCTTGAAGGATTCCGACTCCGAGCTGGGAGTCGGACATACTAGGGTTTAGGCTTTAGGGTTTGGGGTTTAGGGTTTAGGGTTTAGGGTTTAGGGTTTAGGGTTTAGGATTTAGGGTTTAGGGTTTAGGGGTTTAGGGTTTAGGGTTTAGGGAAAAAAGGGCCTTTGGCTTCAGGATTGCATTCTGCACTCTTCATAATGTTTTCGGGCTCCAGCTGTGGACCATAGTTAGTACTTACTTCCGGTTCAGGGTCTACTGTAGGTCCAGGTTTGAGGACGAAGGCCAGCAAGATTAGCAGCAAAGTCGTGCAGAGTGCTCGCCTGCATAGTCTGACACTATGCAGTCTTGTAAATCCATGCTCGCCCATTCTCCCCGAGCTTCTTGGATTCTCCGGTCCGTGTTCCAGGTACTAGGCGGATGAAGCCCGCTCTGTGCCACAGATACCAAGAAGAGTGCTAAGCAACTTGCTGAGTAGCCCAATTCTGTTTTGACCATGAAGAAGAAGGCCCCGTTCATCCCGTCCCGTCTCCCCGGCCCGTGGGCCGCAATCTCAAATCTGCGCCAGCCTTCCGCCCCACACGCCTAGCTCTCGCAGTCACAGCAGTGTTTAGTTCAATGTTAGGGGTGTTGGTGCAAACGACATCATTCGGAGCAAACCCCCTAGTACATGTAGGCGTTTCCGAAAATAGGGACCCCAATATAGTACCCTAAATAATAGGATCCCTATTATAAGGACCCCAAAATAAGGTACCCTAACTTTCTGAAACTCCCATATAGGGGTCCCTTATTTAAAGGTCCTTATAATAAGGATCCTATTATTTAGGGTACTATATTAGGGTCCCCTAACTTTCGGAAACCCCCATGTAGATCTTGCGGAGCTTGATCCCTGGAGTTCTCCAGGTGTGGAGGCTTTGGAGGCACAGGCAGACAGCCAGGCACGGAAGTTGCAGGCTTTAGGGTTTAGGGTTTAGGGTTGGTTACGTCGAACTGGGTAGTTGTCAAAATTATGGTCCCTTTTGGGGTACCCTAAATAATAGGTGCCGTATTATAATAAGGACCCAAAAAGGGACCATAATTTTGACAACCACCCAACTGGAGTTTGGAGCGTGTTCTAGTCTGGAAATACCATCATGATCCCTGTGAACTTAGTTGATGGTCCTCTAGCTAGGAGGGCGATTCTTCGGCGGTGTAATCGCAGTGCCCTGGTCTTGCTGTGGTGAATTTATCGCCAGGGGTAGGCGGTGCAGGATCGCGTGGCAACGGGAGGGTTTTGCGCGCTTGAGAGGATGACGCAGATCTTCGGAGTATAGATCCGCTGCAAGAACTGCAACATCTCAAGGCCTGGATTCCTCTCGGAACCACTGAAGTAAAGCAACCGCGAGGTCAGAAATCGGAAGTAGGATGATCCGTGTTGATACTCCCTGGCATTCGGATGTCACAAGTATGACTGTGAGGCTTACTGTTTCTGTCTCCGGCAGATTCAGATAGAGGTGCTCCAGATTCCAGCATGTAGGACCTTGAAACTCTTGCACCTGGACCCTAAACCCATGCTCTATGATTTTAGCTTTTATTCTAGGTTTCGGGATCAAACCCCCAGAGCGGTCCCAGAACCCCTGCATCCAATCGCAGTCCCTCAAAGCCCTCAGAGCTATCTGAATCCCTGGTTGCTTGGGCTTGGGTCGGTTTCCGATCCCGTCATGAGGGAGGCTCCTTAAACGGAGGTCTACATTCGGACATTGGACATATGCCTCAGAGGACTAGGCTTCATGTTCCTAGCGGGCTTCTCAGTGAGGGAACTTGGTTGAAGGTAAGATGGGAATTTCTCAGAGCCGCTTACCGCGCGATCGAGTTCGAGGCCTTGGGTTGTAGGCTCAACACATCTCAACAACTCGCGAGGTGCCACGGTCGCTGCAGCTCGAATCACAGGCCGGGTGAGTTGTAGTTGTGACCAAGACCCTCGGAAGAGAACCTGCCTTGCTGGCTATGAAGCTGGATAACTCTTGACTTGACACAAAAAACTACCTTCGCGGTTCCTTTTGTGACAGCGCCTCATGCTCTGTCTATGGTTCACCGATTTTCCTGCGATGGGGCCCTTGCTCGATTGACTGTGGCCATTGCTACTGAGCTAGACCTCCCCAGCTCCAGGTCAAGGAGCTACGCGCCACGATGGTGCCAGTGGGCAATCGCGTGCAGGCTTGGCTCTAGATTCTTCTTGCCACCGGCGCCAAAGTCTGAACCTCTCGCATAGGCTGCCAAGCCCAAACAGCCAGACACTAAATCAATTCACACTATTGCAAGTATTGCTGCAACTCTTGCTACCATTGCCGCCACCACCACCACCACCACCATCACCACCACCACCACCAACACCAACCACGACGACAACTACTGAATGCTGTCGATAGCGTGCCAAGTGGGTGGCAACAGAAACGACGACGACGACGACGACGAC